TGCCTCTAAATAGGGCTCTCTGGTAGGCACAGAGAATGACTGCAACTGAGTCCTTCTTCATAAAAAGCTAACACTAGGTGGGTAGCAAGATAATAGAACATAAGATAAAGCCTGAGAAGTCTTGCTTAATACATGCTAAGGCTGAGCCTGACAACACATTCGTTCCAGGAACACACAATCGCATGTCCTCTCGGGACCATCACAATGAAGCAGAGGAAGCAGCGCTGAGCATTGAGAAGAGTGAAGCAGTGGGTGGTGGATGCAGGGAGACGTGGGTTGTCAGGGGGACTTAGGGCTCATCCCTCTGATGATGTGCTATTTGAAGGCGGCCACGGATAGGGTAGAACAATGACCCAGCATAGCCTTGGCAAGCCAGGTACACTTCCAAGAAAGTAGGTTCTATGGGAGTCTTTTAGGGGACTCAAGGGCACCACTTTGGAACACTGGGGGGAAGCTCCCGCACTGTGACTTTCAGCTCCTAGTCTATATATAGAAGAGGGCTGGTTTACTCATGGGCTGACTGAAGAGACAAAAGGAAAGTCAAGCTGACCTGGATGTAGACAGACAATAGACACAGGCCAGCTCTGCAGGGCTCTGGGAGGCTCTGTGAACAGACACACAGCCTGGCTAACACTTCCTCCCTCACAAGGGACAGGCAGAAAGCTGTCATCTGTGGGACAAATGTAGCCTAGGACATGGTGTTATTTATCCATTTATTTTAGATTCAACTGCCCTGAAAGCTGCAGTAGAAGCGTGCCACAGACATCATTTAATCTAATTTTTATAGACTACAATATACTCTGCTATAAGATATGGATACAAAAGTCCATATTACCACTATTCTCAGACCTTAAACATTAGCAATGATGCCTTAAATCATCAAATATCACATCACAATTCAAGATATCAATAATCTCAATATTCTTTAAACAATGGTTTTATTAAGAGTCAGGAGAAGACAGTCTATAAGGCACTGGGTTGACTCATTTCTGAAGTCTCCAAGTTTCCAGGCCCCCCCTCCCTCCATGCTTCATCTTGGAATTCCTTCTGGATGAGCAGGGGTCCTGAGGATCTTCCCACACTCTAGATATGACACTCTGCCTCTGTATACTGTTATTCCTCTAACCCTGGATATTCTATAAACCAAGCGGTCAGATTTTGAGGTTCATTTGCATGAGTAGAGATGGTTTTGGTAAAACAACCTCAATATGATGCTGTGTGCTCTAGTGGCACCATACAGGAAGGCAGAAAGTATCTGGTTGTCTCTTTGACTTTTTAAAGCTTCAGTAGTTTCTTTAAAAAGACTTACTATTTTTACTTTGTGTATGTTTTCCTGCATGTATGTCTGTGAACCACATGTTTGCCTGGTGTCTGTAGAGGTCAGAAGAGAGCATCAGATTCCCTGGAACTTGAGTTACAAAAGGTTGAGAGCCACTGTGTGTGTGAGCTGGGAACTAACCCTGGGTTCTCTGCAACAGGAGCAAGTATGCTTGCTGAGCCATCTCCCCACCATCCCAGGGGTCTCTATCTGATGCTGCTTAGTTTCATTTATGGGAGATTCCTGTGCATGTCAGAGGCAGAAACCAGGTAGGAACTGCTGTAGGCAGTGTTACATACTTGGCTGGGACATACGCAGTGGCCACCTTAACACCCTGAAAAGTAATTTGAACATAGCCACCGTGGAAGGAGACCAGAATTTAAACTGTTTACAAAACAATGGTGACTTTATAATTTTCCCTTTGCCTTTTAGGATCCTTCGGACACAGGGATGACATGCCCACCATGTTGAAGAAAGAGAGGCAGATGGATATGCACCACTCTTCTCTGGTGAATCCCTCCCCTACACCTGTATGCATTTATCCTAACCATGGACCTCCACACTTCACCTGTGTGCACCTGTCCTAATCATGGATCCCATACTGCACATGTATAATCATGGATTCCCATACTGCACATGTATGCACTGTCCTAATCATGGATCCCCATACTGCACATGTATGCACCTGTCCTAATTATGGATTCCCACACTGCACATGTATGCACCTGTCCTAATCATGGATCCCCATACTGCACATGTATGCACCTGTCCTAATCATGGATCCCTATACTGCACATGTATGCACCTGTCCTAATCATGGGTTCCCATACTGAACATGTATGCACCAGTTCTAATCATGGGTTCCCATATTGAACATGTATGCACCTGCCCTAATCATGGATTCCCATATTGAACATGTATGCACCTGTCCTAATCATGAATTCCCATACTGAACATGTATGCATCTGCCTTAATCATGGAGCCCCTCCTACTACACCTGCGTGCACCTGTCCTAATCATGGAGCCTCACACTGCGCATGTATGCACCTGTCCTAATCAACACGGAGAGGTTGAGAATGAACTCAGACTACTGGGAGGTACATAGTTTGCTTGTACCAGTACAGCTCATAATCAAGTATTAGGAACATGTGTATTAGGTCACTTGCCTTCTAAGGCAAAAATGTAAGTATTCTATCCAGAATTTACTTAAGACCCTTGTATCAGACAACACAAACAAAATAACTGAAGAGAAACTGAAGTTAGTTGTCATATATTGAATCAGGACAATCTCAACACATGTAGGGAAAAACAGCAACCAGATAGACACTGTTATAAAGACACTCAGGTACTGGAACTGTGTAACAAAAATGGAACACATCTCAGCCAGGCGGTGGTGGCGCACGCCTTTAATCCCAGCACTCGGGAGGCAGAGGCAGGCGGATCTCAGTGAGTTCAAGGCCAGGCTGGACCGACAGCCTCCAAAACAATACAGAGAAACCCTGTCTTGTAAAACCAAAAAAAAAAAAATGGAACACATCTCTTACACTCTAACAAGAGATCACAAACACACTGGAAACACATGGAAAAACAGAAAGTCTCAGCAAAGAAACAAGAGACAGAAAAACGGCAAAAGGAAACTCTAGAAATACAGAACTATAATAATGCACTAAAACAAAGCGAAACACAGCGGCTGGCAAGCCGGGGAAGCAGACCAGAGGTGGCAAAGTAAGAACTGGGCAATCCAAAGACAGATTAGTAGGAAGTATACCTCTGAACAATAAGGAGGAATGACTGGTAAAAAGTGAGCAGAGCCTGGGGGAGTCATGAGACAGGCTGGAAACCTGATGCTCTTGCCACCTGGAACTCACAAGGACAGAGGACAGTGCTGGGAGATGTTTGGAAGAAATGGTAGCTGAAAACATAGTAAGTATGGCAAAAATCAAAACCTAGACCAGAAAACCCTAAACAGCATCAAGTCAAAGAAATCGACTTGCAGATGCCCCAAACCAAGATTTAAAAGCTGAGAACTAAAGACAAAATGCTCATAAAGCAGCCAGAGGAGAGATGCAGGAGCCACAGGTAAACACTCAGTGACTGTGACTTTCCCATTGGAAACCAGTGGCACACTTAAAGTGCTCAGAGAAAAAGGACTGTCAGTCCAGAACACCACACACCATAAAAATGCTTTTAGGAAGGAGGGTGGAACAACCATCCCTGCCTGAGTGAAACACAGAGCATGTGTCATCTGCAACCCCACTTTAAACAGTACTGCTGAGGCCAGAGAGACAGCTCAGTGCTTACCAGGACACACTTCTCACACAGGACCTGAGCTTGGTTTCCAACACCCACGATGGGCACCTCGGTCATCTGTAACTCCAACTCCAGGAGATTTGGTTACTTCTTCTGACCTCCAGAGACAGACACAGAGACACAGACAGACAGACAGACAGACAGACAGACAGACAGACACACACACACACAATGTATATAACAAGTGGTAGATAAATTTATGATTTTTTAAATATCAATCTTCAAGGTAGGACACTGGATCATAAGTTTTAAAAGGTAGATGAGAAGAAAACATCGGCTTACACCACCCACTGATACAATCTGGAATGGATGTCATTTATTCACCTTGAGATTAAAGGTCAATATCCACACATGTAAATCTTTCAGGGGCAAGCAATAAGGATGGCTCAGTTAAGTTGAATGTGCATCTTAAAATGTGTCACACGTAGTTTGACTACCATTGGATTAATTTTATGTGTACACACACACACCCCTTAGGTCATTAAATTCCATGACAGCAGGAAACTGAGAATAAGCTGACTTGACCTTTCCTACCTTGACATTGCAGTGTGTGAGGTCACTGTGATCCCAGAAACACCGTGTATTCAGGTCAAAAAGGGGTGAGCTAGAGTAACTATGCAAATGTGCATGTGCAGGTGTGTGTGCATGTGTGTATTGATATGGAATATTATACAGCAGGCCAAAATCACAGTGGTCATAGTCAAAGATAATTTTAACTCTTCTATATGGAATTTATTTCCAAAGAATATAATTTTTATATGTATGACTGATTTGCCTACATGTATGTACGTGACTACATACATGCCTGGTGCTCTTGGAGTACAGAAGAGTATGTCACATCTCTTAGGACTGGAGTTGTGAACAGCTGTGAGATTGTCTGGAAGCTGGGAGCTGAACCTGGGTCTTCTACAAGAGCAAAAAGTGCTCTTAACTGCTGAGCTCACTCCCCAACTCTCACAGAATATAATGAACAAATCAATGTTTTTAATGCATTCGAAGAAGGAAGCAAGCAAGTACGAAAGTATGGGGTGTCGAGACAGTCAACCAAATAAGGTATAAAGGAGCTATGTGGCCCAGGAGAAGCTACTGTACCGCTCTAGTCGAGGGTCCTCGTCTATTCACTGCGGACAACTCACATGCATCTGCAGAGGGACATGTGAACCGACTAGAAGCAGCGGACTTACTATGGCCCTCCACAAACAGTACCTGGGAATTAACAGAGTCACATACCCAGAAGTACTAAAGAAGATGATACGAGCGACAGCAGGAGATGCCCAAGCATCTGCTGTGAGAAGCACGGAAAGGAGAGTCAGGACAAATCCAGCTGGCAGGAGAAAGCCGGGGTCACTGTGCCCAAGTTCCCAGAACTTACTGCAGTTCTCCTCGTCACTGCCATCAGGACAGTCCTCAAATCCATTGCAGCGGAAGCGGCCGATGATGCAGTGGACGCCGCTGGCACAGGGGAAGAAGGTTGGGCCACATTTTGATTTCGCTTTGGCTGCAGGAGGAAAAGACACACAGAGGGCTATCAGGAGATGACGTGCTCTGGCCACAGCCTCCTTATCCCAGTCACTCTGCACATACGAATGAGTCCGTTCAGGTTTGGCATGACGTTCCAAATCACTGTTAATCATCACAAGCACCCACTGCCTCATATGTTTCCAGACTCCAGACCCAAAGGAAATGCAAATGTTAGCCCAGACTAAACTGGACACAACTTGCATAAGCTCTCATGGAGGTAGGATACCCCCACGTGTTCCGCAAACCACATTCCCAAAGTCCAACCAAGCAAGTATGACCTTCCAGCAAGTCTTTGGAAAGGTGGAGTCTTGAGAGTGTCATGTTCACTTTTCTGCATGCTATCCTATTGAGTGACTGCTGGGGAAATTAAATGAGAAAATCTGTGTAACGTCCTTGGCACCCTGCCTAGTGTGGCAAGGACTCACTAAATGCCAACAGCGGTTGCTTTGATATCCAGGGAATGCATTTTGACTGGCTCTTTAGCTTCTAAAGAAGCAAGCCCTGTGTCCACCATCCAGCTCCGTATCTACCATCCATCTGCTCGCCCACTCACCCATGCCTTCCTCTGTTTGTCACCTGCTACAGTGCCTGTGCCTAGCCTCCTCCAGAACTTTGTGTGCACATGTGATGGGGTGCTTAAGTGTGTATGTGGGCACATGTTGTATATGTGTGTTAGAGTATGGAGGTCAGAGGTCAACTTCAGTTTTTGCTCTTCCATAGCTGTCCACCATGTTTTTGAGACATATTCTCTTGCTTGGATCTGGGATTCAGCCATTAGTCTAGTCTGGTTGGCCACTGAGCCTCAGGGATTCACCCATCTGTTCCCTCCCCAGAGCTGGCATTGCAGGTGCATGCCACCACAGTCAGGTAGGTTTTTTGGAATGTAGTTTCTGGGTATCAAAATCAGGTCCTCATGCTTGTATGGCAAGCATTTAACTGCCTGAGCCATCTCCCAGGTTCCTCTTAGGACTTTTGAAGCAGTATGATTGGCAGCTCTAGAAAATGCTGCATGTAGGTGTCCATGCTGGCTGGGCATTTAACAAGTGATGGTGGTAGCATTTCTAGACAGACTCTAGAATCACCTAGGAGACAAGCCTCTGGGCATGTCTGTGAGGGAGCATCTAGGTTAGATTAAATGAGCTGAGTAAACCTAGGACACAAACGCAAATAAGAAAGCGAGCTGTGCACTGGAAATCATGTCTGCTTGCTGACTGCAGATGCAATGTGATCACCTGCCTCAAGTTCTTGCTGCCATGATTTCCCCACCACGAGGAACAGCAACTTCCAACCGTGAGCCAAGAGAAGCCCTTCCTTAAGCTGCTTTTGTCAGGGTTTTGTACCACAGCAGTGGGAAAGTTGACTAAGACAGTACCCAGGTGGTCAATCCTTGACAAAACCTGGGTGCTGAGTCTGAAATGAGCTTGCCTAGTGGGCAGCCCTCCACACATGCTGTTGAAATCCAGATGCTCCGAGTGCATTGTGCATGAGTGCTCTAAGAGAGAACTGTGGGAAGCCAAGGCCTGGGCCTCTCTGGGTGCCACTGCCACCATATTTTGCAGATAATGAATTTGCATTGCATCCTTTTGATGTCACCAGTCACAGTCCTGGAGATGACCATATGCTGAGTTCCAACAGTCCTAGGAAATGATGACATGGGAGGGTCTTGAGGAGTCCTCACATAGACAGGTATGATGAGTAGGGCTTCTATCGCCGTTTTGTGGATGGAAATCTAGTACTGAGGGGAGGCCTAGGCATGTGAACTCCAGGAGCCATGACCTCAATCAACCTAACGGCATGCTTCTCTGCCACAGGCTGTCACTTCTCCCAACAGAAGCCAGACTCCTACGCTAAAGAAATTCATTTTGTTCACCTGCTGTACAAACAGTTTGAACAGAAACAGTTGTAACTTGGGCTTGATTTACTGTCCTGCTAAGCCCAGTCGCCCTGGGGGGTGATGCTCTTTCTAGTTAATGGTGCTGTCTGCTCTGAGTGTCGATTAGAGACAGAAGATGAGATCTATGGCTAAGTGCAGGTAGCAGCCCCATTGAGCATCCCTCCAGCCTCCTGTCTGAGAGGCTGGACCCACACTCCTCCAAGAAGAAAAAGGCTATTTCTTAGGAACAAACAGACAGTAAATTGCCTGCATGTTCCCACTGTCTGAATGATGCCAATTTCAGTGGCAGCTGACTCACCGTCAACAGAGTGTCTGTGAGCTTCACAAAGCACACTCTCAAGGGTTCTGGGCTCAAAATCAGACTCCATTTTGATGAGTCTGGACAAGTTTCTGAATATGGCTGAGTCTCAGTTTCTTCATCAGCAAAGTAGAGGCAAGCCCGCTCTCCAGGGATCATGTAAGATGGAGACAGTCACACAGAAGCTTGACAGTGACATACTTGCTTTTATCACTGTAACAAAGCATCTGACAGAATCCATTATGTGGCTATTTCCTTTGGAAGAAAAAGCGAGGCTCAGAAGACTCAGAAAACTAATAAAAATTAAAGGCTCAAGAAGGTCACAAATTTGGCTTGTTCGGCCCCTCCTCCAAGTTACATAGCTACGTAAACGATTGTTAGGAGAGAGGAAGACTCTGGTGGAACTGCCTGCAAGGAACTGTGGATGGGCTTTTGTGAGCTGTTATCCATGATGTGCTGGGCAAGGTTTTGAGTCACCCACGCTCCTGTAAGTAACCACAATAAACCCATTGGTCACAAAGCTAGGTTTGGGTGAAATAATTTCTTTCTGTCATTACTGCCCTAACTGCCTAGCTTTAATAAGCATTTGCTTATGTCCCCTTAGGAAAAGTCATACAACGGAGCTGGTGGCCAAACAGGGAACAGGAGATCCAAGGATGAATTGGGGAGAAGCAATTTTGTGGTCCCTTTGATGGGTGATGAGACATTCAGTTGAGGCTGATCTATCTGGAAGTACGCCTCCTCAGTCACCACAACTAAGGCAGCTGTGGCAACAGGAAGGTAGTTCCCAGACTCGGAGCAAACAGCTCTTCATCCTGAAGGGTGGGTGCAGACCTGACTGGCATGTTCACTGAGCTGTCCTTATTTTTCCCATTTTTCCAGAAGCCAGAGTTACAGATAGGCTGTAGGTCCGAGACATGGGTCTCTGGGAGACATGTGAGAACTATAGGGTGTTGGGGAATATTCTTTTTGTACATCGTGAAGATGTGCCACTATGATTGGTTTAATAAAAAGCTGAATGGCCAATAACTAGGCAGGATTTCCAGGCAGAGAGGACGCTGGGAAGAGGAAGGTGGAGATGCCAGGAGACACAGAGCAAGCAGGATGAACAAAACGGAGATGAGGTAATAAAGCCATGAGGCAGAAAGTAAATTAATAGAAATGGGTTCATTTAAGTTATACGGGCTGGCTAAAAACAAGCCTAAGGTAAGGTTGATCTTTTATAATTAATAATAAGTCTCTGTGTCTTTTTCTGTGAGTTGGCAACCCAAAGACAAACCGACTACAATAGGTACCAGGAAATGGCATGGTGACACCAATTTGCAAGCTCAAAAAACGTGAGATGCATGGGTCTATCTAATACCTAGTTCTGAGGTCTCACAGAGGCAAATACTGAAGCCCAAATAAGACACCAAACCTGCCCAAAGCTAGGTCTTGCGGGGTGAATTTGGTCTTGAGCCTGATTCACCTACTCCTGAGTCTAGCCTCTTTCAGCTGTAGTGCTATGCCACAGGCAGCTGATGCAGCGCCACACCTGGCTCAGACATACTACCAGAGTTCAGATTCAACTGAGCACAAAAGTCAGAGAACCAGGAACCGAAAGCCCTTCTCCCACATGCTGCAAGCTGTGACTCTGAATCTGCCCAGAAAGCACTCATAGCTGCACACCCCGCGGGAGATGGATGACACAGGTTTGTTATCTACAGCTGATGGCCCAGGTCTCCCCAGGTGCACCGCACGCAAGAGCTGGGCTAGAAGTCTGGCGTGGTGGCACACACTTGTAATGTCAGCACTGAGATGGCAGGGGCAGGAGGACGAAGTGACACAGTGAGATCCTGTCTTAGTCACCACCCAATCAGCCAAAGTAACTGTGAACTCAGCCAAGCAGATTCGCCACATTCCTCAGGTGGTGGTGGCTACAACCCAGACCAAGTGATGGGCATTCAGAGTGTCCCCCCTTGGCTTCTGTGCTTGGCCAGATGAGGAACAGCTGACATCCATCTCCTGACCCAATACAAAGCCAAGATTGGCCAAAGAAGCAGAAGCAGGAACCATAAGCTCCTCTGCTACCTCCCCATCCTTGCTTGTAAGTAGGAGACTGAGCTCACCGGGAAAGACTTCAATAGCAGAGAAACATATAAAGGAGAATGTGCCAATCCCCACCCCTCCCCACCACACAGGAAAGGGTGCTGTGGACATTCAGTGGACATGATTCTGTATCAGTCACCCTTCTCGTGTGAGGCAGGAAGGACTCGTTTTGACTCAGTTTCAGGAGACTGTCAAAAGGCCATGAGAATGGGAAGGCATGGAGTGGGTGTGGCTCAGTCCACACTCCCAGAGTGTGAGGCGGCATCAGGACAGCCACCAGAAGTAAAAGCAGAGCCAGGCTAGAACTGCCTCCCCCCAAGACCCGTTCTGCCAGACAGGTCCTCCAACCTCCCCCAAACATCACTGCTACATGAGGGCCCGTGGAGGAAATGGTATACTCAAACCATATTCGCAGCAAGAAACATGTGTAAGTGGGGTCAACGGGTCAAACTCTGACAATGCGACAAGTCTAGGGTGAAGGCTGGTATTCTGCATCACTCCTGAGTTCCCAGGAAATGCTGCTACACCAGCCACAGCACTGTGAATGCCAAACATTATCTTGTCCACTACCCAGGAAGAGTTCCCGGTGTGTAAGCTGCTGGGTAAGCATGGATGGAATCAACAAGTCGGCCCCAGTGTGTGTGTGCATGCAAACGCACACAAAACACAGTACTTGTGATTACTACTGACCCACAGC